GAAAAGGTAATTCTGTATAATTAGAAATACCGTTTAATTCTTTTTTTTTCTTTTAACTTTTCTTTCACTAAATTTTTTCTTTATCTTTAAAATTTCTCTTTCAAAATTTTCATCTTGTCTCTCCGAACTTGTGATGACAAAAATTCTAGTTGTCCCTATCCTAAAAACAGAGAATGCATTTCTCACTATGTTTCGATCTCGTCCCCGATTATATTTTTGAAATAATTAATATATATTTTATTAACTATTTTACTAAATTATGAATTAAATGCTAAATATTTTTTAAAACTAATTATTTATACTGGTACATAATATTTTCACACTAAAATAGATATAAACTATATATATTTATTACTTTTTTATTTTTTAATTCTAAAAAGAATTAAAATTAATTATTAAACTTGTAATTTTTCCCATAAAGATCTCCATCTCCAAAATGAGAATTGCTCAACCTRGACCTCAATTACTGAAATTGAAGGATGGGATGGAGACGAAGATTAAAATTTTTTGCAAGGACAATAATGGAAAAGGGCATGTCTCACACTATTGTCATCTCTACTCTACATAAATTTTTCTCTCTAGCATATATTTTTAATTTTCTAACTTTTTGAAAATAGAAAACAAAAAATGATTATCCAACATATTGATTTTCCGTTAAAAAAAATAGTTATAATTTTTGCTTAAAAAAAAAGCTAAAAACATATATACCAAAAACTAAAAACATGAATTGCTAGTAGACGAACGTAAGTTTTTGAAGGTTAAAATGCATTTTTTTCTCCTTATCCATTAAATATACTATATTAAACTCTCACCTACAAATTTTCTCATAACAATTTGAACAAGGTAGCAATTAGCATCATTATCTTTTTCATGTTTTTTTCTTCTTCTCTTGATGGAGTTTTTGGACACTTTTCCAGACTTATCTCATCAAAAGACTCTTGGATTTGATTAGTCATGAAGCCTATAATATCAAGTTTCTATAAATCTCGGTCCGAGATTCACTCACAATTCTAATGTGCTCCCCCACCTTATTAAAAATCTTGGATAAGATAAACAAAATTGAAACCTCACCAAATAATCTAACTCTTTTAGAGTGAATATACATGTTTAGCAGTAAAAACGACCCAATCTCTTATAAGACTTCACGAGCTAATTAGCTCATTTTACCTCTCATACAAATAAAAAGGAGAATTTTAAGCTTTGGAGAGATATTTGTCAATGGAGCTTTTTCGAAGGAATTTTTCAGCCATAAAGATCTAAGAGTCCGAGGAATGGTGACTGAAAATTAGGTTTAAGAGAGATTTAAAGTTTAAGGTTAGGATAAAATATAGCTATTGAATTTAAGACACTTTAAATCAAATTAATTGTGGAAATTTAGTGTAGAGAGAATGACAAAATTCCATTTAGAAAATTAAGAATTTGAAGTTAGAATTTTCTAAACACAAAATGCCATGTCATCTAATCTAATCTAACCATTGGGTGCAACGTCATTTGACACATTGGCTATAATTGTTGCCATGTAATCTTCCGCATCATCAGTCATGTGCACGTGTCATCCTTAGAATGGTTATCTAGTCCATGTCATTGATGACACCATCCGCTACATAGGATTTTGTCTTCTAATCATCCTTTAACCATAACTTTTCAATTTGACGATTTGAGTAGTTCAAAATGCGTTTGACTCGTCTTTTGAAATAAACACTTTGAAATGCTAAAATCAACTATAAACATATTTTACTATTATCAAAAGATATGTATGTCGAACATAAACTTAGTTCATTAGTAGTTGATAGGTGTTTTTTACCAAGAATTCATGAGTCTGAATCTCCTGCTCTCATCTTTAAAATTCATCCTTTTTCGAATTTCCCAAATGACTGTCAATTTAAGATACAACAAATGGCCACCAAATTTTTGACGGGGCAAACACAATCTTCTATTTTTGTCATTTACATTAGTGAACATAAAGTTGAAATTTTCTATTTAAATTACATTTTAAAAATATTTATTTTAAAAGCTACTCCATAACCATTTGTAGAATTCTTTATTTTAATTACATTATTTTAAACTTTACCCTATTAGTCAAGTCACTCTTTAAAAATGGTCATATGTTGCAACTACTCAAAAATCCAAAGTCTTCCCATAGCCATTAATGGCGGACTTGTTTTCTTCCCGCCTCCTACTACCAAACTACGAGAGAAGTCTTCTTCTGATCTTGCCTCCATTAAAATGCATTCGAAAACCTCCTATCTGATTCCCTTTTCTCTCATATCTTCCTAGTTTCTCGTCTTCCCCAATCAAATTTGCCCTCCAACTCCAGAGTTTCTTCAACGACTCAATCCCACTTCGATTTGTGTGCTGCCCTTTTCATCTAATACCTCTCTGGAGATACCCACTTCGATTTTCATTCACTCAATGGAGAAATCTGGGTACGGTCGCGATGGAATTTTCCGGTCCTTACGACCTCCGCTCGTCTTTCCCAAAGACCACAATCTCTCGATGATCTCCTTCCTCTTCCGAAATTCATCGTCTTATCCGAACAGACTCGCCATTGTCGACGCGGAATCCTCGGAAACTGTGTCGTATTCTCAGCTTAAAGCTTCCGCAATCAGGGTCTCCAATGGCTTGCTCCAATTGGGCATCAAGAAGAACGACGTGGTACTGATTTTTGCCCCTAATTCAATTCAATTCTCTATTTGTTTCATTGGAATTATTGCCATTGGGGCTATTGCAACCACATGCAATCCCGTATTCACGGTCTCTGAGTTAACCAAGCAAGTTAACGACGCTAAACCCAAACTCGTGATTACCGTTGCTGAGTTATGGGACAAAGCCAAGAATCTAAACCTCCCAGCAATGTTACTAGAACAGAAAATTCCTCCAGAAATCTCCTCTCGTTCGAAAATCTATTGTTTCGATGATTTGATAAACATGGCGGGTAATGAATCTGGCCCGGAATTCCCAATTGTGGGGGTGAACCAGAATGATACAGCTACGCTTCTGTATTCATCAGGAACAACAGGAGCGAGTAAGGGTGTGATTCTGACTCACAGAAACTTCATAGCATCTTCACTGATGATAACAATGGACCAGACGATGAGGGGAGAGACAAATTGTGTATTTCTGAACTTTTTGCCGATGTTTCATGTGTTTGGATTGGCTTGCATAACATATGCGCAGCTGCAGAAGGGGAACACCATTGTCTCAATGCCAAGGTTTAATTTGGAGAAGGCTTTGTGGGCAGTGGAGAAGTACAAGGTGACAGATCTGTGGGTTGTGCCGCCTGTTGTGCTTGCTTTGGCTAAGCAGAGTGTGGTGAAGAAGTACGACCTTTCGTCCGTGAAGCATGTCGGTTCGGGTGCTGCACCCCTCGGGAGGGAACTAATGGAGGAGTGTGCTAAGAACATTCCCAGTGCTGTGGTTCTCCAGGTACCCTGTAGGCTGCATATGTTCTGTTAAAATCGTTTACAATAATTTATAGGATTGTTTTTTTTTTCTTCCAATTTGTTATACCAAGGAATTCAAATATAGTTCTCCGTTAAGTTCAATCATCAATTGATATTTTCATTGAGAATGAACAGAAGTTGAAGTGCAGAGGAGTTGGTACTATTAGAAGTGGTTTTGGGATGCTTTTTAAGAACTGTAAAACAATTCTAAGTACCTCTAATGGTAATTTACGAATTTTTAAGAATGTGTTTGAGTTGGCTTGTGACTTTTGAGGATAGTAAACCACTCTTTCGAATGAAATATTTGTTGTATTAGTACTTTTAACACTGCTGAGGTGCTTTTAAGTAATATTAGAAGTTTCAAAATAACTACAAACACCCTAAAAAAGGTGTTTTTAATTGGCTGAAAACATCTTTCATTGTTGTAAAGTCATACCTGATTCACCCGAAGTGTTTCTAAAATTTTTAAAATCACTTTTGACTACGTAACAAAAAACCATAAACTTTTGGTTAAAAACACTTCTCGCCGTTTCAAAAATCATAGACACTCAACTAATTATCAACTGCTCTAAATTACGATTGGAGATTCAAATTGACTTCGCTTCATTTCCCTATGATTTATAGGACTGGATTATAAGCTTCTGATGCAATGGCTGTTAATTTCTTCGTTGTTATCAGGGTTATGGTATGACTGAGACTTGCGGAGTTGTTGCTTTGGAGAATCCAGCAGTTGGCAAACGAAATTCCGGTTCAGCTGGAACACTTGCTCCCGGTGTTGAGGCTCAAATAGTCAGTGTAGATACTTTGAAGCCTCTTCCTCCTAATCAATATGGAGAGATATGGGTTCGGGGACCGAATATGATGCTCGGTATGGATAGGATTATCTTTTCATTGATTTTTTTGGCTTCGTACAACACTTTTTAGAGAATTTTTTGTAAGCATTATCCCTGTATTTCTTCCAGTTAAAGCAAATATTATCATGCACTAATCCGATCTTTACTAGTTTGATTGACTTTGGTTTCAAATTTCAATTTCGAAACACCTCATTTGCAGGTTATTTCAACAATCCACAGGCCACCAAGCAAACTATTGATAAATACGGCTGGGTGCATACTGGAGACCTTGGATACTTCGATGAAAACGGACAGCTTTATGTTGTCGACCGAATCAAGGAACTCATCAAGTACAAAGGTTTCCAGGTAGATATATGTTGTTTTATAATATTGAGTGTTTTTAGTTACAATCTCTGGATTTTGGAAATTGAAGTTTTATATAAGCTGAGTTTTTGTCTTTGTAACATAAATTGAAAGATTGCGGCAATTGCAACCTTTTAAAAAAACCAGTGAAGTATAATCTGTTATGTTAAATTTACATGTTCCATCCTTGGAACATCTATTTTGAAGGGTTAAATATATCAATATATACGCATATATTCTAAAAAGGTTAAAAATAAAAGTAATGCAGCCCTAACGTCTCCATGTCCTACCTTTCTTATAAATTGGTGTCACTGTGTTCGTGTTGTGTCCTATGTTTGTGTCGGTCTCTGCTTCTTACCAATCCTGTTATATTGGTCGTTTTTGTATACGCAACTGCAGTTTGGAGTTCAAATCAAATGTTGAAGCTCTCTCTCAATTTTTGTTACTGCATCTTCAGGTTGCACCAGCTGAGCTTGAAGCACTGTTGGTTTCTCACCCTCAGATACTAGATGCTGTTGTCATCCCGTAAGCTCTATAGGCACTCATTACTCGTATTTGAACTTTCTACATTCATTCCTTTGTAACCAGTACTGTCGGAAATGAATTGATAGCTACCCTGATGCCGAAGCTGGAGAAGTTCCAATCGCTTACGTTGTTCGATCTACCAATAGTTCTTTGACAGAAGAAGACATCCTCAAATTCGTTGCCAATCAGGTAAGGCACAAGAAGAAAGTTCACTATTTCGAGTTCGATAATTCATTCGTATGGAGAAGTTGCACGTAATGCATCAGGAATCAAACTTGTCTCTCCTGTAACAGGTTTCTCCTTACAAAAGGTTAAGGAGAGTGACATTCATCAGCAGTGTCCCCAAGTCTGTTTCCGGGAAAATCCTCAGGAGAGAACTCATCGAGAAAGTAAGAGCTAAAATCTGAGATCTTTGGTTCCTAGTTTCGTTCTGATAGGATCCATTTTGAGCAAGCCTGAATAACTGGAATATGAAAATGAATAATTGCACCTATGTATTACAACTGATGCTGAAACACTTTAAAAGCTTTATGATATGATCTTTCAATGTTGATCCCACTGTCGTTAGACAACTCGTGCTTTATCTGAAAAGTCCTATTATTTAGAAAATCTATCTCGTATTTGGCAGTACACGGTCTCATTCGAGCATTCTATTGAAACTCGTTGTCTCCCTCATAAATGATCTACTTGGCCCGAAATGGCGGTAGAACTTGGGATAAAATGAAATGGAAGGCTCAATTTTCATCCCCCTTGAATGATTGGTTTACTATACCATGCTTGAAAGCTTTGCAAATACGTACCGGTGTTCTTATTAACTGTTTGCATATGTTTTCTCCATCTTAAAATATGATATTAGAATTGCTTGTACATCAATGACCCACTATTTTATCTCTCCATTAATCTTGACAAAATTTATGTTTTGATAGTGACCTTGACTGAGAGAGACACTTTAGTTAAGTTTGAAAAATAGTTTTAAATGGTCTTTAAATTTATCACACACAATTAATTGAGTAACAAAAATAAAAAAGTGTCAGGTGATGTGACAGTTGAATTGCATCGATGATTAAGCAAAATATATTATTTTAGTATTATGTTTTTTTTGAGGTGACTTTCTTATCTTCCTCCTTCCTCTTTCATTCTCTCCTCTTCTTTCTCCCTCTATTTGTACGTTGCCACTCATTTCTCATTGGCCACCAAATTCAATGCTTCTCTCTTGCATATTTGGTACGAAGAATCATTCCTTAGCTCCATAGGTTTGAAACGTCCAAATCTAGAACAATGATCGTTTGAAATTTGTAATGATCGAAATTAGATGAAGGAACTCCTTCGTTCTATAAATTTTGCTCAAGAGAATAACCTTTGTTCCAAATGTTTGAAGATATTGGATTGGAGATTCGAAGAAGACGATAGTTGGTGGTGATGACGAGGTTCTCATCGCTAGGACAAGAGAGGCGAGGAGGGAAGAAGAGAGAGAAAGAAGGTTCTTATAAAAAATATGATATTAAAATAATATATTTTACCAAATTAGTAAGGTAAGATCCTCAATTTAACCATTCCAATTCTCACTCCCAAACAAAACAAGGAAAGAAGAAAATTATTTAGAATAAGATAAATAATCTATAATCTATAATCTATCTATACTATACCTTAATTTTAATCATTTTCTCTATTAATTTGAGAGTAATCTTATCATTTGTTTTTCTCTCTCTCTTCAATTCCCCTCAAATTCCACCAATTCTCTACCCTCTCTTCCCGCGCCACTTTCTCTCTCTGAAATTGGTAGGAAATGATTTCAAATTCCAAGATTTTAAATAATGGAAATGATTCGAATTCCTCCTTGAAATTGATTCTAAATAATTGAAATTAAAATTTCTTGTTTGAATGTTTAGGATAGTTGAAAAGAAAGTATATCATTTAACTATTATTCTCTTGTAATTTTGTAATTATATTAATAATAGTATAATATTTTTATATGAAATATAATCATTTAATCAAATCAACTTAATAAATTAAAACTTCCAATTAAATTTTTAAGGAGCAAAACAATATTTGTACATATTTATATTGTAATATATATTTTTAAATCTAAAAAAAAAATAATCAATATGTTTATAACTAAAAAAAACTTAAACCATTAACCCACTTTTCCTCGTATTTTTTATTTATTTTTCTTTTGAACTATTGTGTTCATACTTCCTTACTTAAAAAAAAATAAATAAATATAACAAATATCATACTAAATTCCTTACAAATCAAGGGTTCCAAACAGGAGGTTACAAATTCTACTTTTCTCAAATAATTTTCTCGTCTTCTAAAAAACTTYATTTATATATCTTAATCCTTTCGTTATTTTTCTTTCTCGTTTGCTCTTAGACTCTTTTTTTCTCCCCTCATCCAAATTCCTTACTCGAATTGTCATTTATTTAAGYTTATTCGGAATTGGTAAAGATAGAGAGATAGTATTTAGAAAGAGAGAGAGAAAATTAGAGGAATGGAGAACCAAGAGAGATAAATTTGTAAAGATGGAGGGATAGTATTTAAAARGAGAAATAAAATTATAGGAATTGAGAGAGAGATTTGTATTTGAATGATAAAATTGTTCTCATGATGATAAGATTATAAATTTTCCATGTAATCGCACGAGTTGATAGACACTTGATTTTTCATTTGCCTCTTTTCAATGTATATTATTTTAATGGTATCTTTTTAATGTATATTATTTTAATAGTATCTTTTGTTGGCTCAATTTTAATCTCAATAAATTAAATCTAATTAATTAATATTTTGATCATCSCAAACACATTAAGTATATTAATTATTCTAAATGTGTATGTTAAGTAAATCTCAACCARTAAAGATACTATTTACCTAAAAAGTTAGAGGAGTGGAATCTCTTGAAGTGTTTTTCTTACATTATTTTAGTGTGTTAAGTTTTTCAGTAYTTTTTTAAGTACAACAAAAAAAAATTGCGAAGGTGAGGATTCAATTAAGATGGTAAAGGATAATTAGTCTCCGACCAGAAATTTGTTTCTAAAAATTATTATTATTTTTTAATAAAAACATAATTACAATTTAAAAGAGGATATTTCAAAACCAAATCGAGAAAGCTCAGCAGTAATTGATGTATATATCAAATTAAAAGGTTGTGAGTTCGAACTTCTATTTAAAAAAGATCCCCTTTGCTCCATCGTAAGCTTCCACTTCATCATATTCCTAAGACCACTCGATTAGGTTCTCTTTAATAGACTCCCATCGAGTTCCTTTGGAACCAAATACTCCACAGAGCGACAACTAGCTCTTCAACTCAATTTCTTAGTAATAGGAGGAAAACACTCTTGGCTGTATAAATCCTTGATTTTTCCTAGTGTCATGTCTACTTCTTCCAATTGGAATAGACAGAATCTCCTTCACTTCATCAGGAGAGAAAGAAGCCTCAATTAGATCTCTTCTCCATTGTCACGACCCCAAACAAGGCTACGCCAAATGAAAGATGGATTGTAGCCCACCTTAGCTTGCATAAAATCACAAGCTTTAGGATCCTCCAACGTTGTTTTGCAAGGAGGGTCTTATTAAATAGCTTCAAATCACGAAAACTCATTCCTCCCCAAGCTTTCAACTTACACAAAAGACTTCCACCTCACCCAATAGATCTTTCTATCTTCCTTACTAGAACCCCACCAGAACCGTGCAGCCATTTGATGCAATTCGTTAATAGCTTCTTAGGTAATCGAAAGCAAGACATAGAATAGCATGGGATGGCTTGAACCACAGCTTTTAAGAGCACTTCCTTGCCCCCTACCGAGAAAAGTCTTCCTCTCTACCTTTGAAGATGCTTCCAAACTCGATCTTTAATATAATTGAAATGCATACACCTGTTCCAAGGTATAAAAGAAGGAAGCCCAAGATATTTCTGGTGGCATTCCACCATACGAATCGAAAATAAGCCTCTGATAGCCCTTCCTCAGCTCTAGCTTTGAAAAAGAGCCTGAAAAAAAAAAAAAAAAGTTAAAGCAAGACTCTGTCGAGCAATAGAAAACCCTGAAATATTCCTCAACCTTGAAGCATTTCCTACGAGCCCCGAAAGGTCCTCCGCACACATCATCAGTAAGGCAAGAGCAAGTCTAATAAATAAAATGGTATCAAACAATACCTTATCGTTAAAATTGGTACATTGAGTTCAACAATAAAAATTGAATTTTTCTCTTATTTTATTTGAATTTTTTTTATTAAAAAATGCCTCACAAATGGTGCGCTGGAGAGTGGGCATCAAAAATTAAAAAAAAAAAAATTGGTTCATTTTGGTCCCTAAATTTTGAAAATTATTTTATTTTGATTCTTAAACTTTCAAAATGTTTATTTTAATTTTATTTTTAACAAATAAATGGTGTAACTTCAAATATGTGTATTAACATGATGATTTGGATATGCGTCGGAGCCGCATTAATTGGGTAAGATAAAAAATATTGGATGAGTGAATATTAAAGAATAAAAAGTAATAATAATTTTAAAAGTTTAGAAAATTAAAAATGAAATATTTTTAAAAGTTTAACAATTCAAATGGTTATTTTTTTAAGAGTGGAAAGAACTAATGATTAAAACAAATCATGGTTATTTAAATTAAATAGGATGTTTACCGGAGAAGTTAATTGTGTGTGAAAATTATAAGTTAAATTTTGTTTAAATTCACAATAAATTATTTATAAATTATAATTATTTTCCACAAGAGTGTATAAATGGACCCACACTTTGAGGGTTTTCCCTACCCTCACAAATGTGCGAGTTTTTCTTTCTCCATATTCAAAGATTTATCTCTCTCTTTTAATTTCTTCTTCTAATTTTATCTTATTTTTAATCATATTTGTTTATATTATTTAATTAATTTAATTTTTGAAAATATGTTTAAATTAAATTTATAATTGATAAAGTACATTAAAAATAATTTTAAAATAATATATTAAATATAATTAAATTTTGTTGATCAAAATGCATTAATAGTAATGATCAATGCCGATTTTTGGGCAAGTGACATGTAAATGTCATGTAGGTGCCACAAATGCCTTTGTCTTTAAGCTCTTGGTTAACTTGCATGCAAAAATCTAACACTACTGTGGTGCTCTGTCGAGTACACTCCAATGCTTAAGAACTCAAGTTGGGAGCAAAATGGTATGAAAATCTCTCGAGGGTGAGAGTCTACTTCAGAATGCGTCGTGTGCCAAATTTTCACAAGGAGTTGTGTAGGAAAACTTCGATTTACTTCAATTAGGGTTGCTATATATTCCTTATGTGAGATGCTGACACGGGGAAGACGATATGTCGTGCCTGAAGTCCATAGAGACTTTTAACATTTTCTTTCCCCCTTTGTGTTGCAGATGGGGGCGCGGGAGCATCCTAACGATTCTCGATATATTGCAGTTTGAGTATAGGATGTTGGCCCGCTGGCTGTCCTTTAGGTGCGCTCGGCCACAAGTTGATGCATTCAATCTTAATCAATCTTTTTTAGCCTGCCCACATGGTCGAATGAAGCTTAGGACATGTGTCACATCGATTTTACTTGATAACAGTGATATAATTAATTGTTTTTTTTAATAGTGATATAATTAATTATTATATTGTAATAAGTGAAGTAGTTGGTTGATATATTTACAAATTCATTTTTATTAAAAACATATATTAAATTAAAAAATTATTTATTAAAACTATTAATTAACTAACTAATAATAGCCTTTTAAAAATCCTAATAATAGAATAAGTTAAACTTATTCTATTAAATAATTTAGTAGAAGTATTTAGTTTTTGACAATTATAGCCGATTTATTAATTATAATTATTTAGTAACAATTAATTTATATCAATTGTGTGTAGTTATAACTTATGTCATGGGAAGACAAAGCTACATTGCTGGTCCATGGCCAAAAACATGACCAGATCCAGGACATGATCATGTCCAAGGCATGGCCAGATATAAGGCATGACCAGATTTACGACATGATCAAGTCCAAGGCGTGACCAGATATAATGCATGATCAGATCTAGGGATGACCAAGCCTAAGTGCATGACCATCAGAAGACATGACCAGATCTAGGGCATGGCCAGATCCAAGGCCTCGTAAGGTCTCGACCGACCAGGTCCTACTACTAAAAATTCTATTGTAGGCTACCGATTCCTTGGTTCGTCATTCAGGATTCGACCTCTATAAATATAACAGTAGACTTAACTCTAAAGGTACGCTAGAAATACTCAATTCTTCCTATTCGACTATTCTGATCCTAACTTAAGCATCAGAGCGCCACACCGGTATTTAGTGCTATTTTGTTTTGCAATTTTGTTTTGCAAGTTGATGCCCGTTCCCGTTGGTGCAAATTTGACAGAATTCCAAGAGACCAAATTTCTGCATTAACAACTTATAATCCTTATGGATTATTTCATTAGTTAATATTTTACAATTATATAATATTTATAGGATTAATTCTCTAAAATAATCACAAATATTATTTATTTTCATACAAATCTAACATTGTTCTTGTTTAATACCAAACACAACAATCTTTTATTTTCAAATATTTTTCAGAGATATTTGTTACCTACGCATCCAACCAAATCTCAAACCAAGAGCGCCTAACATATTTGAATGCTTGAATGTTATAAATTTAATAGGATAAATAATGCACACTTGTAATAATGCTACTCATTTGGATCCTTAAATGCTATAAATAAAATAGGATAATAATGGCGCACACGCACATACACATGCACGTATTCTCAAATGACACATATGACATGATTTGAACGTTGCTAGATGAATGTTCAATCAAAGCAAGATCATTAGCTAGAGCTTTCATAGTAAGATGATACTTTTCCTTCTTTTCTTTACGAGTAAAAGTGACGAGAGTATGAATATATACATTCAACTATTTTTAACAATAAGCATAATTAGTTGATGTTGTAGTAAAGATGACATGAATCAGCAAACCTCCATTAGAGCCGCACCCCTTAAATATGATGGGAAGAAGAGGGGCAGCCCTCTTTTCGTGAGACTCGAAACAGGGAAGGAATTGATGCAAATTTCGAACCTCGAGAGAGGAAGATATTGATCGAGCTAGTTGACACTTAACACCATTTCTTGCCAGTTTGAATGGACGCATTGAAAGAAACCAAATTTCCAGCAAGCCACAAGGTTTCTAGTGCTTTAGTAGAAGATTAGACTGCAGCAGTAAAAATAAAATCTGAAACTCTTTGGGAGAAAATGTAAAATCTTTGATGGTGAGGTTCTGATACCATAAAATGGCCTATAGAATTTGAAGAAATAAATGAATTTTTGTGCATTGAATCAGTACTCTGTTACAGAACACATGCAGTAGGTAGACCACCCACTAATATAGACTAAAATGAATAAGCTGTCAACTGTTGCAAAAGGAAATAATTACAGCCGTAAAATACAAAAGAATTGTGAAAAATTTACAGCTAGAAAAATCTCCGATTATCACTCTTGATTTCACTTAAAGGCCTATATCCAGTTCCAATGGGTATAGCACCTATGAATGCACCTTCTTGACAGAGATGACAATGGAATCCAAAGTCTACGCAGAGACGACGCCCAAACTCATCTAAAAACCTATCTATCATACATATCCAAGGGCACCACCAAGGAGTGTTTTCAACAATCTAAACCATGTAGCTGGAGGAAGCAAAAAAATACCTGCCATGGCACGAATGAATCGAATCGACATGTACAAAAATGAAGGCAAGAACTTGGTTCAATGAGAAGATGGTTGGAGCAGCAGCTGATACCTGACGCAGAAGGCAGGCCTTGGGAGTTTTGCTTGCTCACCTTGAAATCTGTGGCCAATCATCAGTGTCCCCAAGAAGCTTCAAAGTATTTTCGTGTCCATTTCCATGGCTTAACAACCAGCTGCCTTTAGAAAGTTATCGTATGGGTTCGAGGATGGTAGTTGAAAGAGGTTGGGATGATATTGGTACTCAGTTGCACAAAGTGCTGGAATGGTGTTAAAGGACGAATTCCGGTACATGGGAAAATCTGAGTCGATAAATGGGTTTCCGCCCTGCATTTCAGTGAATTTAAAAGTCAGATTTTTTAGGAAAGGGATAACCATAATAGCATGTAGATATACTAATGAATGCTGTGATGAGCTGATGCCACTCTATGAAAGCAGGCAGATGTAAGTTTCAAGATAATAGCATGTAGATATACTTATGAATGCTGTGATGAGCTGATGCCACTCTATGAAAGTAGGCAGATGTATGTTTCAAGATGCTCACACATAAAACGATTTTGATTTCTATTTAAAATGCTTCAATTTCAACGTTTCTCCATGTAGCTTTAAATCTAATCAGAAGTGGAGTATATGATAAGAAGCGTACCTTATTTACACCAAAGTGAACGTGGCGTTGCGGAGGCTCTTCTTTTTCCTGATTGTCGTCATCATGAGTGAAAGTTCCAACTGAAGCTTCTTTAGGGGTCATGAAATTGGATATCTTTTGCTGCTTTTCTTCTGAAAGAGCCTCGCAGTTGCCGGCCATTTCCTTGTAAGGCATATTTGCTGGGAAGGAGCCTGATAACCTCCCTACTTGATTTGTTATATCGGAAATCTGCATCATAAATTGTTAATAAGAAAGATACATTGATCGAACAACGGTGATAACTAATCTGTCAAGATAAGGCAATGTAGAAAATGCCGTTTAGGGAAAAGAGCATCTTCCCACCCATGTATATACTACAAACATCAATCACTTGAGAAACTTAGAAATAGAGTGAAGTGTTAGCCTTAGCCACCATAGCAGATACCGAAAGCCTTCATGGAATAAATGTAGAAAACTAAAATCGAGCCTTTTATCATCATGTCTTTGATTTAAATAGGGTAATACCAACTACAATAGAGGTGTCACTAATTCTACCACCAAACAATGAATTTTTAGTTGAACAAAAGTGTTTAAGCCAATTTGTCGATCATTAACTAGTCTTGTGAGCCTCTACATGTTTAATCGAGTCGAAGACATAGAAGGATAGGGGAATCTACAGAATTGCATGAGAAAAATGAAGTTATCTTTTCATTATATACTGCACACTGTATCAAAAGAGGTTTGTCGATTATTATATTTCCACAACATTTTTACTTTTCCCAATTAGTAAAAGTACATTCATATGTCCCTTTTCCTCTTACTTGGGCATCTTACCTTTGTGTTCTGTATCTTCTTTAATTTCAAACTCATTTTGGGAGAAGACATAGTAACCAAGATTTCGTTGTCTCTATGAATGTTCATCACATTTGTTCCCTACACATCTATATGAGCTAATGCGCATATCTTAGCAACTTACCAAATGCAAAAGTTCATCAGCACTCATGAGAGTTGGCCCCTCCACGGTCTTGTCTGTCTCAAGTTCATTTTGAACCTGAGGTTCATCGCATAAATTGTCATTATCAACTGAAAGAAATGGATCAACCTGCAAAATACACCAAAATGTAAAGTGATGTCCAAAGCTTGAAAATAGTTGGAATCTTAGACACAGATGAATGAAGTGCAAGGAACCGTGTTGGGAGTTTCTTCGTTCTTAGGTCCACACTGATAAATTTCTCCTGGTGTGACAAAAAACTGAGTTCCTAATGGGCAAGCATCGTCTGGCAAAAAATCTTGAAGCAGCTGTTCTCTAATAGAAGATAGCTCATTCTGCTTTAAATATCAAGACAATTCATTACATTTACTGGAAATTGAAACTATAACAATCTAATTTGTGGTATACTAAAATAATGTTTTTATTTGCAGTAAAAATAAAAAGAAAAAGAAAAAGAAATGCTTACTTCTGACATATTGTGCAATGTCTGCAAAATTAGCCTAGCAAATGATTCTTTAGATTGGCTTTCATTTGTATCCACGGCTGAAAGTGACTTCACAGCATCTTCGTTGTCTTCCTTTGATCCATAGAGTTGATTGGGTAAACTAGAAACTTGTAACTTGCAATCTTCAACCAACTTCAGAAATGGATCAACCTAATAAAAGTAAAAATTCCAAATAATTAGAAGACATTTACTCATGAGAGTTAAAATCTCAACTTTATATGAAATACGCATCCCTTGCAATAGGACTAGGAGAAATTCCCATGTAAGATCAAGGAGAACCCACTTAAACATCCAGGAAAGAGAGATGTTGAACTAGAAGGTAGATACGTTAGTACTAGGCATGAATTAGAGTAGCAAAAAAACTTTTGCACGTACTACTTCACTAGTAAGGGCAACTTTAGCACGAGGGACAAGAGGCACAATGCTGTAGGCTTTTGCTGTGAAGATGATCATCGACGTTGCCAAAGTAAAAAGGGACCTACGGTGTGATGGTTGCAATTGCCCTGCAATTTTGTAAAAGTACTTTTAGTTGTGGAGATGGTCTATTGACAAAGCGGTCATATGACTAGCGATGAAAAAAATGTCTATCCATCAGAATATATTTGGAATGTCAACTTCATCTTTACACTTTTCCCATCATCTTCACACTTTATATAACTAGAGTTCTTCCCAGCCACTTGAACCCACTAGGTTGCTAACCTCTCCTCCCACTCATATATTGAGTAAATAAACCAAATAATTTCTTTGATCAATCAAAGGAAAAAAAAAATTAGTTAAAAAGATAAAGAATGATATTTCTACAATGATGCCACATCTAATTTGCATCTGGTTTTTACGGAGTCAGATACCTGGATTCCAAATTAAGATAACTAACAAGTATGGATCTTAAATAACAAGAATATAAGATGAAAAATCCTCGAAAAATCCTACAACTTATTGCCCAAGTGTTTACCACCAAAATTTCTAGGTGATGAACAAGACTGGTCTCGTATCACAAAGTTTTGACATCACGATGAGTTTCTCATCCTTGCTCATGTTTGAATGGGATCGTAAATCTGGAAAGATTTCAGAAACAGTACAAATGAAATAAAATATTTTGCAAGTTGCAGAGTGTTTTCTACCTCCAGCCAGGGCAATGCTCCGCAAGGAAAATGCTAGCTGGAAACTTCGAATGAGCGTCTCATGACTGGAGTTCTATCAACACAACAAATCATAAGGGCAATTATAAAAGGAAATTCATACAGTGGTACTGGACAAATAGTTAAGTATCAAATTGACAATAATTCATAATGACCATCATAAACTAAGCTGAGTTCTTAATAAGACATGTTCCCACCAGAGTTTGTCACAGTGCACGGTAACTAAGAGAACTCCAAACTAAGTAATTCAATTCTCTCCATCATAGTCATAAGCTGAGTTAAGCTCCTACATGAATTTAGAATATGAGAAACTAAAAATATTTTCCGTGACTTTGTTGGAGCTCAAAAGACTATAGAGAAACTGTTCACTGAACTCCTCTATACTTAGAAGTCCTCCATCTTTTCTGACTTTTCACATCGTCTAAATTTGATAGCTTTATATAATACTGGGTAGTTAGAGAAACCATGAGATGTTAGTTTAATACTCTAGATAAATGACCCATGGGTTCATAAAACCCCGTCTGCCACTAGAACAAGTACAAGAGCCTCTTAGTGCCCTTCCCTACCAGATTGCAACCCATATGTCCAAATCTGTGGGCTGCAACATCTATTAATACCCGTTAAGATGCATTTTAATTGTCTAAAGCAACAGGCAAACGGTGAGCCAAAATATATTGGTTCTCTAAGCTTTACTTGTCTAGAGCTCAACTCTTAAAATTCACAAAATCATAAATTCAAGTAACAAAATATAAGATAGCATTTCATCATAACTTTTAAAATGCTAAATAATATAAAATATTCATGAAGTACAGTTTACATATGGTTTGGTCATAAAGGATGCTTAATAATGGTGAATGCACTAATCGGGTATATTTGATTGTCTCCGTTGACTGAACTGGAACAGAAAAGTTACTGGTGTAGTATATTAGATTCCAAGTTTTTCATGCAGATCTAATTCCTTTGTAAATGAGGTGAGACATCAGCAAATTATCATTGTCGTTAGTTTGAATATTATGATAATTATTTGATTGTATAACAGATGCAGCAACATCATTATCGTTGGAACTTTTCTAGCTAATGTCCTCAAAGTTCTCATAACAAGCTGCAGTTCACCAAGCTATGTTAGTAATGTTAAATTTGCAACCAGAAGATCCTCAAATCATGAACCATCATTTCTTTACTCACCTCGTTGAACAATTGTCTTATTCTCTAATTTACTTGTGACTACTCTTTCGAACCATCTAAGCGTTAGTAAGTATGAAAACCATTCAAGTAGTTCACAAACCCAATGAAATCGTTTTTAACCATAATAATAGATTAGTTGTCATTACCAAAAAAAAAAAAAAAAGAAAAAAAAAGAAAGAAACTCTAGATTTACGAATTCACTTGAACAGGATATGTTCGGTAGGCTGTAAAATTGTGTCCGTCCTCGAGTCTAAAAAGAACTTTCTCTAATTCCCCCGTGCTTAACAGTTTAAACTGATTGATCAGTACCTCATGCAAAGAATTTTGATTCTATAATTTATATAATTAAGAAAAAACTACATGAATATTCCAAAAAAACAATATAAAGAGAGCACTCTTTCCTTTTAAGAATATAACCCACTGATGCAAACTAATGAATGGCATGCTTCAAAATTGTCCAGAAATTAACTCACTTCACATGGTTGGGAAATATCTTCGATGCTTTTACTAGCCTAGGTGACTCTCAAACTATTACTTCTTGTATGCAATTTTATACCTCTAACATACCATAGTCATACTGATGATTGAATACCATAGCTGTCATAATGGTAGTCAACACTAAATGAAGGGCAAACAAGAAAGAAGAAGGAGAAAGTTCACAACTTAGTGTCAAAAACCAAACTAGAAAATACAAACACAATCCTATAGGATATATGGACTATATTTTTTAAGTTCAACAACATGTGGAGGTGAGATTTCAACCCACGGCATTTTTGTTAGGGACATATGTCTTAACCAGTTGAGCTATACTCTTGGCTAGGATATATAGACTATATTACTCGGAAAAAAATATACTAATTCAATATACTAATTGAAGAAACAATAATGAATTTACCTTAGTCCGGCCAAATAGCAACACAAGGCAGTAAGTATGAGCAATTGCTTCATAGTTTTCAGGTTTATTAAGAGGAGAGATAGATTGTGCCCATATTGATGAGAGAAGATTGGTAATCTGGCGGCTGCTAAGCCTAAGGGACGTCGTCTGAAAGTTCAATTCAACAAAAATGATACTATTAGACGATGAGGAAACAATACTAGAGGAATCTTTAGTGAAACAATAATAAAAAACAAAATACATACTGGTTCCTTTTCTGAACTTAAAGGTTTCTCCTCAGCAACTGTTCCAGGTGTAGTAGGCTTTTTCACACTATAAGCTCGGCTATAACTAGACTTCAGTCTGTTCATCATAGCATTATTGTTTGTCTTTGGTTCTTCTTCTTCTTCTTCTTCTTCTTCTATAATTGAATTTACAGCTAAAACTGATGGTTCCTTCTTCACAGTGTGAACCCGACTGTAACTTGACTTCAGTCTGTTAAAAATAGAGTCACCTTCAACTTTTGTAACCGGCTGAACCATAGGTTTTTCGTCCAACTTTTTGAAGATGTTCTCTGGTGCAGAATGATTCTCAACTTTCACCTTCTGAAAAAGTGCCGCTGAAGAGGAGAACACAGACACTGTTCTTGAGAGCGTCCTTTGAATATAAGTGGGCTTTGCAGACTGGGGAACAGAAGCATTAGGACGTGGACAGACAGATGATGGAACAAGAACAACAGAAAATATGCGGTGAGCACCAACTCTAGTTTCATGGTCTGAGCAGACCATTGCCAGCAGTAATTGATGAAATAATGCCTCTGGAAAGGCCTGCAAAACAATTTAAGACTAAAACTGCTGGGAGAGAAAGGGGTAAAGAAAAGTAAATTGAAACTTAGATTGCACCGAAGTCTCAAAAAATTTGAGGCAGAAGATAAATATTAGGTGAACTTGCCTTATCTTGATACACAAGATTTGGTATTGATGCCACGATTTGAGCTGTACGGTAGACAGTGGAAATCAATGTTCTGGACATTACGGGAATATTTGACAAGTTTTCTAGCATTGCAGCCATCATGTCTAGAATAAGACCTGCATCTCCAACCTAAACAACATTGCAGGAAAATCAACACAAGATCCATCACAAGAATGTTAGGAAGTTTGAAAGTTTATAAGAAATTAATTAAGAAGATTTCAACCATAGGCATCCACGGTGTGCATGTAGAAGCCAACAGACAATCCCCTGACCAAAAATCACCTCCCGAGTGATTGACCAAAAATCACTTTAAAGTGATTTTGAGAATTTTTCTAAAATCACTTGTGCACCATTATAAACAAAATTACCTTTCGTGACAACTCCACAAGGCAAGCATCAACTGATGCTTGGTGTTTTTGGTTCCACTGAACAACTTCTGCTCCCAAGTTAGCATCATCAAGGGAGCAATGTATACTTTTTCGAAGATGTCTCATCATATCACTTAGTGCACCAATTATGGCCACTGATGGTTGGGCATTTGTTTGCTGAAGAAGGGAGGTGGCAACATTAACAATGTCAATCTGCATGGTAGGATTTTTCAGAACGTTCTTGTGATCGAGGTGCTTGATTAGAATTGCTAGCATAAAGTGTGAGTTGTGCCCTGTAAGAAATAAATAAATTTCATGAAAACCAATAGTGAAATTATTTATATAAGAATAAGTGGGAAGAAGTAGTTTATATCTCAAAGGCACACTTTAAAAGGGTCTTGAAGAAAATTAATACCCAAATTCTCCATTATTAATTGCATATCCAACAAGACAGAGAGACCAAGGCCAAGTTTTGGAGACCAAAGATTGCCAGTATCAAAGTAACGGAAGAAAGATTCCAAGACACGTCGTATAGTTGTAGCTTCCTTAGCCAACTTGGCTATGTTATGTAGGCAAACCCTTGCCCAAAATTCTGGATTCTTAGCGTCTTCCCTGTTAGATATAAGAATGATAAGACTTGTAATGTCGATATGCAAATATAGTTATGGAATGCTGAGACATGGACTTACGGAGATACATTAATTTCCCCCTTTTCCGTCACTATCGACCTCCACGAACACATCCTTGTTATGTGTTCGCGTGATTGGGAAACTACTTCACCAGTTGCATCTTGATTATCTTGCTCGTCATTGCCAGAAGAACTGGAAGTACTTTTAAGGTCCCCGTAGTTATCCAAGACAACAGAAATAACCTAATTCATGGCCGGGAAAAATGCAACTAAACATTTAGGAAAAAGTTTATGGCACCAACATAAGAAATAATAATAAGTAGACAAGTGAAATATCTACTCATAAACATACAAAGGAAGATCTAGCAGAGAATAAATATGGAAGAAGATGAAAGTAATCCAGGAACTAGAGCAAGAAAAGATAATTATGAGGTAAACATAAGCAACTTACATTGTCAAATTCTGTTGATATATTGGAAAATTCACCCATAAACCAAACCTGCAGATGAGAAACATTCATATAATCAAATAATTTCCAGACTAAAAAAACAAATAAGGTTCTCCAACAGAAAAGGATGTACTACATGTGAGATATGAAATATTGGATTTAAATGTTTAAAAGGCACTTAAGACGAGCAGATATTGGAAAAGAAAAATTAGCTCAGGACAACAATTCGTTCTTATGGTGGGCATTGTGGTTGAATGATCCTCCCTCCCCCTGATGAAGGTGAGATTCCTTTACCATTTTTTTTAATGTAAAGATTTTTTAATTTGTAGTTATAATTGTGCTGATATTCAATTGTTATGCCCGATTATTTGATCAACTGCAGAGAGGTGACTATAAAGGCCATTTTTCCATCCCAAAAATTCACTTTCGTGCCTTCAGTCAATCAAAGTAGGACACAGGATTTGGGCTTGATTTGAAAGTTCCACTCTGTTCTTCAATGCATTCGTATATCAGGAGGGAAGTTGCAAATTCTCCTTCCTGTGTAGGCTGCTTCGTTATTCTTTAAAATATTTCTCTGTATCTGTGTTTTTGTTGATACCAAATTGTTCCTCCCCTACTTTCTTTAATCAAATCCAAATAAGAGTACCTTTCAAAATCCAAACTGTCCTTTTCGTGGCTTAAGTAAAGAACAAACAATTTTTGCGGGATTCATTTTGAGATCATTTTTCCACTCTCTCTTCCAATATACAAATGAAATGGAGTTGCAAAATCAGTCTCTGACTCCTTTACTGCATGAACTTTATTGAAGAAATTACCAAAGAAACTTCAAGCGTGATTTTCTCTTTTTGAGTAAAAAAAAAAGAGAGGGTTGTAGGCCTTCTTGAACATGTTATCCACTTAATTAGTTCATCCAATAAATGAGTTTGAACCCTCGAGAACATACATTGTGACTTATCAACTTATACATACCTTGTTGACCATACCATATGGACGTAGATCACAAAATCAAGACTGGAAGAAGCATTGGGCCATATGGCCATTAGCTCATATCCATGTCTAGATTGAAAAAGGGTTGCTTGCTTAGTTAGCCACTATTATAACTTGAGAAATAGAATGGTGACAGCCCTTTCCTCAATTGGATATTCTTTTGCATGCCATTCGCATAATGAAGATAGTCACTTCCATTAATTGATCTCCTAGCACAAAGCCTTCCAAGACCTTTTTCTCGCAACAATAGTGAATTAGTCACTATCAGAGTCCCAAGAAGAGTAAAGAAGAAAGAGTAAAGAGGAAAGAGGAAGAGGTAAAGGGAGTCTCCTTGTTTAAGGTCCCTTGTAGCAAAAAAATTTTCCTCTTGGTCTACTATTTAAGATGACAGAAAACTTAGCCATAGAAAAACACCCCCAAATCCATTTCCTCCATCTTCTTCTAAAGCCTTTGGGCTTAAGGATAACATCTAGATAAGACCAATTGACCGTCATAGGCCTTTTCAAAGTCTGTTCTCAACCAAAAACCCTTCTTCCTTTTTGCTCTCCAATCGCCACAACCTCAGAAGCAATAAGAATAACATCTAAGATTTGGATATTAACCCGCAAACAAACTAACTAGAATCTTCTATTATTACTCAAAATCTCTTGCAAATACAAAGACTAACCCTCATTTTATAGAGGATGTTAACCCACTAAAGTAAATCAATTTCTAGAAAAATAACCAACTAACAAACTAACTGAGAACCCCAACAACTAAAACCAATTAAGAAATAAACCCAACAAAACACTAACAATTAACAAATTCATACTAAAATCACAAGATTACTCCTAATCACACTACATCAGATGACCATCACAGTCCTTTCCATCAACCAGGAATCTAAATTCAAGAATCTTGGTTTCACATAGGATAGAGATAGTATGTTCATAGGGCCCCATAAGCATAACTATTACGGCAGCATGCTTTACACCTTCAACACCAGTGGCCACCAACTTACAACGTAGCCACAGACATTGCAACATTTTCGGCAATACAACAAAGGGCATAAAGCTTAAAGGGAAATAGAAACTGAAATTTTTCTCTATTTCAATTCTACCCACCGTCAGAATTCTCTACTACTGCAACTAATTTATCAGCGTTAATTCAAGCTAGCTTTGAGGACTCTACTATTGCAACTAATTTACCAGCGTTTTGATCTATTAAAAAACCAAGTAATTAGGAATCACCACTTCCAATTAACATCACCACGTGCCATTTGAGATTATAGGATTCAATTTTAGAACACATGCATGACTCGTTACACTAGACCAATTCCATCTTGATTTAACTAAAACTTGATAGACCATTCTACAGTTTATAAGCAAAAACATTTTCAACATTAGAAGTCTCATTAACTTGCTTGAAAATCACAGAAGTGCTCCTATTTTGACTTTTCTGTCTTTAATTATGTACTATGGAAGTTACCAATGGCAAATTTTGAACGTCTCTTAATTCCATAAAACGTAACGTTTGATCATTTACTATAAAGACTTGCCAATTGAAAAATTATTCTGAACAAATGCAAGCATGCTTTCAGATTCTTGCTTCATCACAATTAACTCCACAATGAAACAAGGAAACAAAGAATATGGAGATAAAGAACATTGTGCCCATGGGAATCAACATACTTCAAAACTGCTCGCCATTAGTACCAGCATTCTTTGCTATTTTGAAGGTTTTGATTTAAATTTTTTGGATAAATTACCATTTTGGTCCATGTACTTGGGAATTAATCTAATTTAGTCTATATACTTCAAATGTCCAAATTTAGTCCACGTACTTTTAATAAATCTTAAAATCCGTCTCCATCCTTAGTTTATGGTTAATTTTTGCTAAAAACATTTAGTCCCTGCAAGCGTTCCTTCTAAAACTTGGAAAACATATTCACATTGTGCATTTTCTTAAATGCATATTATTTTTTTCCAAGTTAAATAAAATTTAACTTCAAACTAACAATGAAGACTAATGGTAAGATTTATTGGATATATATAAGGACTAAATTTGGATTTTTGAAAATACAGGGACTAAAATAGAACAAGTCTTAAACTAAAGGACCAAAATAGTATTTTAACCTAATTAAAAATATATATATATATATATATATATTTCTTCTAGGTCCTCCATAAACATGTGAAATGGAAGAAAGTAACTCCGAGTGATAGAGAATACAATTTCCAAATAGGCTCTTTGAAAGACCTAATCTCCCCTAAACTAGTAAAGTACTGCAAACAAAATAGTACACCACTTATCAGTCAGTACTTTCTTCCTGGAGAAAAATTCTCACGTTGCTTCTTGTGGTTGTTGCTGCCCGTCATTGGATGGAGATATCTAAATCTCCATCTAAAAGACTAAGCTGTAATCATATGCCCAAACTGGCCATTCACTCCAGTAGAAGTTCTATATTCTCTGAGTTGGGGTGAGAGGTTGGTAAGGACTCAGATTAGCCCAACTACCATGCACAATCGCAAAACATTGACAACTTGGTGTATTTGGGATACGAAAGGGAGTTCTTGTATATAAGAAGAAGTCCACTTCTTTCTAGTACCAAAAAAGGTCCCAATACCACTCTCGGACTCAATAAGAACTGCTGCCAATATGGCATCAACTTCCAGTCCACCAGATTTTAATGATGAATTGAACATCTCTTCATTTAATATCAAATTGAGCTTTCATCCTTTGTTGTGCTCAGAGCAGTTGAAATTTGCCAATTTATCATAAATATTGCTAGAGGGGTACAATCATACCCCAAAAGAGGTGGTCGGATTTGACCATACAACAGTTAAAATGGCATGGGATTTGGTGGAAAACTGAAACGAGGTGTTGTACCAGTATTCTGTCCAATGCATCCACTTTGCCCAAGCAAAGCATCACAAATAGGTCTCAAGGCAATGGTTAACCACCTCTATCTACCCATCCGATTGTGGGTGGTATACAATGCTTCTTTTAAGCAATGTGTCATTAAGTTTGAAGAGCTTTGTCCAAATGAGTTCATAAACACCTGTTTCAAAATTGACTTTGGTACTTTTTGGATCCTTATTATCACATCGGTAAAAATGTGAGCTACCCCAGCGAAGTGATGAGCATTTAAGGTTAGGCAGTGGGTGTACCAAGACGATTAACCACCACCAGCACACACCTTCCGAGCATAATAACCCTTCAGTGAAATCCAATATTAGGTCTTCTCACACCATATGTGGACGGAGTAAAGGCTGGAGCAAGCCTGCTGGATTCATTGTCATGTACTTGTGTCTTTTGATAGACTTTACAACCTTTACTTGGGCTTAAATTTAATTGAGGAATACCTAGCTCAGAATTTTCAGAGTTTCCATAGTAGATTTTATTTACGGTAGAATTTAATTTGGAATCATTTATCTAAATGTATACACTATATTCCTAACCCATATCATATGTTTTGTTAGTGTACATTTTAGCATTCGATTAATCAAGTATTAAATTATTTTATGAGTTATAATGTTTGTGCGACTTTCTTTGTATTAGATTTAACGGTGGAAACAAAAAAGTAACTGTTTATTTTAGAAGTACCTAAGAAGCACAAAGTCAAGAAAAATCTTGACTAAATCTAAAATGGATAATTTCATAAAATATATAATCTCCTTGAAGCTTTTTCATTGAATCAAAATCAGAAACTGCATGTTTCCTTTTCGCATGGGTTCGAACCGCATGCTTCATTAAAAATGAGAGCAACTATGAAAGTGTTGTTGATGTAAGCCTGTTTACTTAATCGTATGGTTTACCAACAGATTGAAAGACCAACACATGAAGTAACTGCATAAAGACAAAATACATAGTAATACATTAAAATAAATATAGTGCAGATTACCATAGCTGAGAGGGCTTGAAGGCTAGCAGAACGCATCTGTTTTTCTCTCCCTTCCTCCCCTATTTCTTGAGCTAAAAGGCAAAGTTTGGGGATCATTCCATCTAAGTTAAACATATAGGTACTATCCCTCTGCATAGTTAATAAATATACATAAATATAAGAAACACTTACAAGGAACAAGTCTATGTTAATTTATCACATCCTTCAAAAAAATAGACCAGACAACTTCTAAAATGTAAGCATACCAGACTGGTAATCCTTACCTGGTTATTAACAAAATCAAAGAGAGCTTGGCATCCTAAAACTCGCATTTCATCGTGACGTGCTTGATCTAGTAGAATGTGGATGATGCCAAGCAAACTACTTGCAAATAGAGGCCTGCAGTAGTTATTTATGCCAATTACAACTTTCATATGCATGTAAGTAGTACATTTTCAGGTCAGGACACATTACAGATCAATAAGCATGCTTATTATACACCAGCCAATTCTCCATTTATGGCAAAAGATTTCCAAATATTTATTACGAAGAAAAAATAATTTCGTTTTACATATGAATCACCACATTTCAATAAAGTGAAAGTATATCGTGTGCCAGTGCTGATTTCATTTGAATGTCATGGAAAGGTTCTACTTGCTTCAGAAAGTCATTGATATGACTGAGATGTAAGCATGTATTAGCAGCTTGTGCCACTCAACGAAAACCAGCTCTCCTGGTGCGTGTTCATAGGCATCTCATAGAAGGATCCAGAAAAATGATATTGATATTCAAAGATTTCCCTGCGAGTACTAAAGTAAATCAGGAACTCACATTTGCTCTTTACAAGAAAACAACAGCTTTCTATAGATGCATATGATGACTTTAACAGAGTGAAATTGCTCGTTTCTCAATTCCCTGTAAAATCTTTGCTCAAGATAAGTTGTGATCTGCGAAAAAGAATATTAAACTTTCAGGAGACAGGAAAACATGCGATGCTTTATTTATATCAAAATAGTTCTACACTGTGCTCCATGTTGCATAACCTTCTTGTCAATAACAGTTCAATCCTAGTAGAAATTACTACACACTATCTTTGGCTCTAGATATGTGAGATAAAGAGTGACCAAAAAAAAGGGTAAATAAGTCATTGTCAAAATAACCCAAAAACAGGGTGGGGTTCCAAAATATCAGTGAAAATAAATTTCAGGTAAGCGGCACCTTGGGAACACGAAAAGGATTTTTTGATGCATATTCACATAATTTACTAATCTTCCTGTCATTAGGTTCTTCTTCCTGCCGTAACACGAGAGAGAGAGAGAGAGTTGAATATCAGAACTGAACTTCCAGAAGCGTATAAACAGAACAGAAATGAGAAAAATTAGAGCAGAACCTGAGAGCGAGGAAAGATATCAGCGAGGAGCTTCTTGTAGCGCTTGATGGGCTGCCTGGACCTGGTGCTCAAAGCAGGGCAAAAGAAACACAAAGTTCCACAAACAGGCAGCACTTGGCGCGACACCATTCCCATTCTCAGGAGAAGTAGATCCCAGTGGAGAGGCCCTTAAACAACCAGACGCATTCGGGGGGCCGATTCTGGGAGGACGGAGCCCAAATCCTTGGAGGGATTTGGAGGAATCGCTGGCTGCTTCGGGAGGAGGACCCGATCGACTGGAAAAAAGATATGTTAGGAAGAATTGACGTCCGGTTCGGGTTCCGGTATGTGAGCGCGAGAGCACCGGATCTCGTGAGACCTCCACCGGAACAAAAATGGAGGACATCAAAATCGTTTTATACCTTCATCATCTTCGCCCTCCATTTTCGCCTATTTCCTTTCCTATTCTCATTCGTCTCCTTCCAACTGCCAAATTATGTACCGTTACTTTCTTTCCCCTCCCGCCTCCCGCTTTTTCTACTCTCCTCTCTTTTCTAAGCCTAACATTAATTAATAAATATATATTTCAATGGCTTCTCTTTTTTTCCCCCAAATTTCAATGGCTTCAATTTAATTGCTTGTAAATTGAACTTTTTTAATAAGTCATCGATACAAGTCTAGTTCAAGTTCAATGGATAAAATACCTTGTAACGATTATTATAAAGGTAAAAAAAAAATAAATGATTGCGGTCTCTTGCATGTGAGAACCAAACCAGGGATTAAACTGTTCTCACCAACGTAGGCTTTTCTTCTTCTTCTTCTAGTGCAACATGTAAGGATGGGAGTTCGAACTCACGACCTCTTGGTTGGAGCTGTGCTCGCTTTGACACATAGATTTTTTCTTCTAAACTTATTTTGACCCTAACTTTTTTCGTTTGAATGATTTAAAATGCATTGAATTTGTCTTTCCAACTTAGGGATACTTTAAAACACTCAAATCATTAGTAAATAAAGTTTGTTATCATCCAAACACATGGTATGATTGAAAATCTTAAAGTTAACATTTTTATCTCTAATCGGTGATTTGATTTTTCACGCTACAATGGTTGAACTCAAAATAAATAAATAAAGGATAATATATAATATATATTTAAGAGAAAAATCAATTTTTTCCCTAAACTTGGGAGGTGTACCAATTTTCAAACCTAAATTTTCAATTTCATTAAATTGGACATTATACTTTGATTAATGGTGCAATTTTGACTTTCTATTCAATTTCATTAATTTCATCTATTGATATTTTTTTTAATAAAAAAAAGGCAAGGTGAACATTTTCACAATCTCACTAATTTCAATAAAGAATAAACTTGGCGCAAAATCAAATTTGATCCATGAAAAATCCACCCTGGAATAACTTCACTAAAACTCACAAATTTTAGCAATAATTTAGTTCTAATGTCTTTATTTTATTTTCTAAAAGTCTACTGATTTTATAGAAAATATAAATTTTATAATTAACTGATTCCTGTTTTTTTAACGATTCTTTAAACGAAAACTTATTAAGATGTAAAATTATGGCAATTATTCAAGTTTAATGTAAATATTGCAACATCTTTTCAAGTTTAATATAAATATTAAACCCAAGTTTAAGGTATTATTTGATGAGATTGAAAGGTTATGAAAAATTTAATATATCTGGTAATTCAGGGGTAAAAATAGATTTTTCCCAAAATTTAAATATGATAGTTTTTTTATGAGGTTGTCTACCAATATTTTAATGGGTGAATTTTATATAATAGCTAGCCAGCAATTCTAAATCTTATCACATTAATAAGTTTTGTTTTATGGAGTGTTTCAAATTTTGAGCGACATGTCGACGTGTCGAGTACCTCGACATCGACACGGGGAGAATATTGTTTTTCTCCCAATGTCAACGACATGTCGAGGAAATGTCGTTTTTTTTACTTATAATCATGGTTGTAAATATCCATTGACATGTCGACATTTCCATCGACATGTTCAATTTTCATGAATTCGACATCGATATGAGGGTAAATCAACATTTCCAATATAAAAAAATGGATAAAATATGGAAAATATCAACAAAATGTCACTAATATATATATAATATTAATATTAATTATTTTTTAACTTATTTAGAAATATGAAAACTTTTATTCGTTAATTTAAATATTTTTTACAATTTTTTAATTTCTATAATTTTTACAGAAATATCCATCGACATTGATATTTTATCGAAATTTCCATGAAATTGAGAACATCGACATTTTCATTGGCATCGACATTTAAAACCTTTCTTATAATATATAAATTGATTTTTGTTAATAATTTGAAAAGTTATGTGATATTTCAATAAAATAATTTGAAAATATATGTATAGTTTGTTTGGGTGAGATAACGTAGAAATTGATTTTTTTTCCTAATACAAACCTCCTAGCAAATAAGTAAATCTGACTAAAGAGAATCAAATATTTTCTAAAACGAATTAGGGAAGTTTGGTCTTACAAATTTGGCTCAAGATTACATGTTTATTTGAATTAAAAAAATCATCTTTGTATTAGTTAAATTATATCACCGCTATTTGTATATAATAAATTTTATACCTATTTCATATATTTTGTTTAATTATGTAACTAAACATTAGATTTGATTAGAAATTATCTATAAAACATATCAATCAACAATAACTTTGATTTACTAATTTAAATAATTTACATGTAAGTATATACATGATTTTGTTCTGATTATCATCGCAGCGACATTTTCATAAGTATATTATTGATGTATTTAGATATGATGGTCAAAATTGAACAATCATGAACTAATTAAGCTACAATTAAAGTCTTATTTACCAACTCAAAAAATTTGCATAAATATCCACAATTTCCATGTTTTTTCCCGAAATATCCATATCCATCGACATCGACATGTCTGTAAAATCGAGACCTCGACATTTCCATCGACATTGACATTTCGAACATTGGTTATTTGTTTGCAAAATCGTAAACAACTTCTATATACAATAGAAACTCTTCGATATAAAGTTATGACTACATTTAAAGAAATATATTAAGTATAGTATCTAACTTTCTACTCCTTTATTATTAACTATAATTTTTTATTAATTTGAAAATATAATTTATTATGAGGTCTATTATCATTGTAGTACCTAGTCCCGTCTGTGATTTGTTTTCTTGATTTAGTTCTATTTCTTCTGGTCTTGTGTTTGTCTGATGGGTGTTGTGTTTTGATCTTGCGTCTTAAGATCCTCTATTTTTTTTAATATATTCACCTTTGCAATTTTTTTATTATATATATATAATTGGAATTTATAATCGTCATATATATATACTTTTTTGTTTGAGAAAAATATATATACTTATTATTGTTGCGAAAAAATTGTATATAATGAGATTAAAACTTTAGCCCGCAAGGATAAGAGATGGTTTCCTACCCACCACTCCCATCGTATGTTTATGTTATTGTACTGCTTTATATTATATAATATTGTAATATTTTTTTTCCTATAAAACATTATTGTCTCTCGACGAGGCAACTATATAAACGAGTACATAGTTAGTCATTTTTTTATTAATTTTTTTAAAAAATAAGACGTAGCCTCAATCAAACGTCATGTCTGTAGGTTATGACTTGTTCCTACCTATTCATAGGTCCTATCTTGCCAACTATTTTCGAAGTATTATTCTTGAAAATAATTTGGTAAATGATATATTTTTGAAATAAGTTTAATAAAAAATAATATTAAAAAAATTATGAATCTATTTATCGTTATTACTCATGTTTAATTAGGGATATTTTGTTAGCATTTTTAGTATTTCATTGGTATTTTTACGATATAATGAATCCTTGAACATGTTTAATAAAAAATTTAAAATATTATAAATAAATATAAGGCTAAATTAGAAAAATAATATTCCCAAACTTTACTATTGGTTTAAAATTACCCTATAATCATTTCAAGAATTTCAATAATATTTTTGACCTTTGAAAGCACACATTATGTGACATAATTTATAAGGGGTGAGAGGAAATGGGGAAAAAACTATCTTTTAAAAAATGTGATTAGGGCAAAATTAGATAGACGAACGTTAATTGTGAAGTAGTTACTGATTCTGTCCCATCAACTTTCTATTCAAAATATTAACCATTTTTGTTCAAATGGAAGCTGTAGAAGTATTTTTAAAACCAAAGAGGAACTCACAAATATTTATTGTGACTCAACGGTAATTGATATATATTTCCGAGCAGTTATGAGTTCAGTCCCTATTCTCAATATTGTACTAAAAAAAACTTCACGAATATTTATTTATTTATTTCGTAATTTAAACCTAAATATAAATACTAATCACCAAATAAATAAATAAATATACATATTAATAAAAAAAAAACAGTTGGCCTCATTTCTCTCTCTCTCGATACCCTTTTTTCTTAAAAGGAGAAAAAAACAGAAACCCTTTCTCTTCTCTTCCTCTCCGATTCAAGCTTCATCCGCTCTCTTTGTAATTTCTCTCTTTCCGTCGATACTCTCTTTCTCCTTCTCAAATTTCAGTCGTCGATGGTTAAATTGGGAGTGGCGAATGCGTGGAACTGAAGGAACTACGAGGGCATCAAAATTCCTGCAATGGTGACGGCTGATTCAATAAAGCTATTGATGGTACCGACGTCGTCAGAGAGCTGAATTGCATTTTTTCCACTGTTTGCAGCGTCACTAGCATGTAAGAACCTTCTCCTTTTTCCTTCTATTAGTATTTTTTTCTGCTTTTTTTTCTTCTTCTCTTGCTTACGATTTCCCCATACGGAAAAGGATTAAATCCACGGAGTTGGAACGGTAGTCTGTCTTTTATTATTATTTTTTTGTTTTATTCGTTGGCTGGTTGTAGCAGTAGCATTAGAATCTGGAGGTTAGCAATCGCTTTGCCCGCTATTTGAATTGAGAATATATGATTGCATTTAAGAATTTTGTGTATGTGAGAATTTGCAATAGCATTAGTTTTTATTACATAATTGCTCCAGAACTCCAATCGTGCTCTAAGGAAAAGGAGTAGGGACCATTTAGTTGTTGAGACGAAGAATTGAACTATTGTTTTGAATGGTTTGTAATACAAGGAACCCTAGGTTGAAGGGTGCTTGGGCTGTACAGACATTAGGCTCAAATAATTGAAAGAGAATGAAGTACAAATACAAATATACAAACTGAGCTGGTATCTGGTATAACTAAAAAGGATGGAATTAGGTGAAGGGCCGAGTCCCGTCCTTACGCGCCCCTCAAACTTATGGTCTGGGTTAAACTCCAAGCTTACTTCTCATCAACCCAAATCTTGAATTGGTAGAGCTTCAAACAATCTGTATTTGTTCTTTTGATTGTACATAATCCATGCTCAATTTCTTTCAAGTGGTCTGTCATGCACAAAATTTTGATATACTTCGATGTTCTTTGCCCTCGCGTAGATGGGTTTTGATGCTAAGATAGAGGTGCCGAAACTATTGCAGTAGGTATCAGAGGTAGAGGTTACAAGAAGATTGACTTCATATAACTTCTCAATGAAAACTGAGAAGGTTTTCAAGCCATATAATTTTGATACAAAAGCCAATTGAGCGATCAGCCTGTAATCTGGCTTTGTTGAAGATCTTGAAACTACCGTTTGTCCCTTTTTAATGACCAAGAGCAGATTGCTACCAAGGGAACACTGTACCCACCAACAGATATGCTGTCATTTTGGTGGAACCAGAAAATTTGATGAGTTTAAATAGATCAAAGGCCTTAATTGTTATTCCACAGTCTAGCATTTCTTTTACATACCTTAAAATCCCTTTAAGGGCTTGTTGGAGCTTGGATTTTGTAGATATTGACTTAGTTGATGGCATATATTAGATTTGGGCATGTTTGAGATAGGTACTGTAGGGCACCCAAAATACTTTTAAAAAGGTAACTCTTGGACTTTGGTTGCAAGTCTAACTTTATATCTCTATATCGACCCATTTGGATTAAGTTTAAGCTTGAAATTTCGCTTGTTTCCCACTATATTAATATCAATAGGTAGTTCTACAAAAGTCCATTTATTTTTTTGCTTTGAAATACAAAGATGTAATTTGGATCTACGACCCTTAAGGAGAGAGAGAAAGATGCTTTAACCTCTAAGCTATATTTAAGTTGGCTACCAAAGTCATTGTAGAGTATACTTTTTACTGTGAAGAAATTATTGTTTGCTAATTGTGCTTGTCGAGTAAGAGGTTTATGTCCAACCAATTGTTGTTATTTGTGTGTGTTATGGGTGGGTTTCTCTTCTTCTACTTTAGTTGTACATTAAGTGTTGATGTGTGGGATCTCATGATCTTTTAGCATCCTATTGGGCTTGATTATCCCATATCTTTATAATCTTAGTTAATTGATGAACCTTCACATTTCGGGACTTCCTTATTTTTCCAACCTTTTTTTGCATTTCATTTATCAATGAAATTTTGTTTCTTCCTCATACCAGGAAAAAAAAGGGAGATTGAGAACAATATTCGAGATCTAATGCAGTTGAAGTTTCACTGGAAACATCATTTTTATATTGATTTTATCCAAGTCCTGAATAAGTTTTTATCTTTTCCCCTTTTCACATTGAATTTTGTAGCCATATGAGATCAAGTAGATTATGTTAAAAATTGCTTTTCAAGAAAAAGTTTATATGCTGCAATGTCGCAGTGATTGAATTTAGTGTTATGCATGGATTTTACTGCTTAATGGTTGATCTTAAAGTAAGAGCATGTTTGGACTGTGTTAATTCAAATTTTTGCATTTGCGTTTTTATTTTAATTGACTGGGATACTCTTGAAGAAGCATTGTTCTCATTAGTCATGTTAATGTTACATGGATTTTTGGGCAGATAAGGATCAAATTTCAAGAAGAGAGAGGGAAGGGATGGTCCCTAGATTGTTAATTCAGCGGCTAACACCACACTTCATAGCACGTATCCGAGAAAATCAGAGGCTACTTAGCTCTTCTGTTTCAGCTCATCAAGAAGTCCCTTCTTTGTTGACATCTCCATCTCCATCTTCATCTGTGCTCATTGACACCATTCACATGACTGATAATTGCATTCAGGTATTTTATACATATTATGCAATCTCTTTTGTACATGTACCATATGGATTTGAAATTATTCATCTATTTCACTATCATCCTCTAGTTTTAGTTCTTGATTTTCTGATTATCTTCTTGTCCTAGGCTTATAGTTTCTGGGTTTTAGGATGTTAATAAATTATTGTGCCTTTTAAGTGCTTAATATTTGAGCATTTTATTATTACCACTTCAACCTATATTCGGCTTTGTCGTATTGTATGTGATGTACTTAAGCTTGGTTGAAGTTATATGATGTGGAAACCGGAGGTGTTAGAAATAATATGATGCCAGTTGCACTATTTTTCTCCATTTTTATATTTTAAAAACTTTCCTTGAAAGTTGGAACAAATGAAGGGGGCTGAACTGATCATACCTCATGGACTTGTAAGCCTAGGAATGAACCCTTCATAATCAGAGGTATATTACTTTTTACCAGATTGACAAATTGGGTGATACTCGGTGTTTATGTTATTGGTAAAAGAATATGTTAATAAAGTAGTGTTGCGTCTACATCTTTTAAAAGTTGAACTGTCATACTATCTTTCATTTATTTATTTATTATTAATTTTTTTCCATATAGTTTTCCTTATCTGCTGTATAGGATTGAATAATTAACTTCTCACAAAGGACGAGTTTGATTTAATTTTTGCTGAGTCTTGACATACCTTGCAGAAAATGAAAGAATTGCAAGAACCCATGGAAGAAAAGATGCTTCGCTTGAGTGTAGAAACTGGGGGGTGTTCTGGATTTCAATATGTTTTCAATTTGGATGACAAAACCAACCCAGACGATAGGTAAATCTAATATTAGTTCATTCTTACTGCTTATTTAGGTTTTTCACTTAAAAGATTGCACTGACGTTTGATTTCACTTTTTTTAAAATTTACCCTTCTCTCTCCTTTCATGTTTGCAGGGTGTATGAGAAGGACGGAGTTAAATTGGTAGTTGATAATATCTCATATGATTTTGTAAAAGGAGCAACAATTGATTATGCTGAAGAGCTGATTCGTTCTGCTTTCGTTGTGAGTGAAACCTATCCCTCAGTATTTCTGCCTGACTTTTTTTTGCTCAGATATGTTTATTACTTTTATACCAGTGTGGACCATAGCAAATTATAGTTATATGACATCTATCAAGCGATGGAGTGATGATTGAGAAAATTTGGAATCCTGGATCTCGACTGAAAAACCAACTTCCACTAATGTTGTTGCCGGCGACGATTAAAAAGCTTGATTCTCGCATGATGATAGCATGTCATGTTTATATTCATTAACTATTACACCATGCCGTTTACATAATCTTTATCTTATGATATATACTACCTCAAGGAGTTGGGGTAAAGCATCATCTATAATCTAACAACGCAGAGATGGATTACCCTTGAGCAATACGCTCCAAAGTTTAATATGTAAAATAGTTCCCAATCTTTTAGGTTTGTCTCGATTTTGTCCTTTAATCATATAGAAGTTTCAATTTTAATTTGAGTGTATTAAAAATTCTCATTTAAGTCATTCCATAAAAAATAGAAAATTGGTGTGTCGTTAAATGATTATTTTGTTAACATATTTGGACATGTGGGCATTCCATTTGGACAAGCAGGTTGAATTTTGTTCATGAGTGAGTTGGATTTCATGTATCAAGTAGCATATGAGTGACATATTCACTTATTGATTGGACAATAAATTAATAATATATCCAAACTTTTTGTTCACAACTTTGAACTATTTTTTAAGGGAGGACCTAATTTGGGAGTAAAATTCAGAATTTGAAAAGATTAAGGATTAAGTTGAGAATTACCTACAAGATATGCATTCCTTATCTCATAAAGGAACTGGTGCTACTGCAGAAGTTGAATACTTGTATTATTTGCAGGTGACTACAAATCCAAGTGCTGTTGGTGGCTGTAGTTGTAAAAGTTCTTTCATGGTGAAACAATAATCACCTCAAAGACTTCCTTCATTAGCACCTTCATAGGAGTAATAATCAAACCCTGACCTGAAGAACATGATGAGTATGTTTATCACTTGGTTTCTTTAGACGATAAGGCTTTATTTATTCCTCTTTCATGTATCATTTTGTATTCATATACCACTTCTATATTTTAAAGCAAAAAAAAAAAAAAAAAACCCGATTCATTGTAATTTAACTAAAAATTCCTCTTATTCAGAGGATTTGATGGAAATAATTATTTACCTTGTGAAAACAGAAAATGTTCTTAGATATTGGATTCATCTGCTGAAAAATAATAACCATTCTCACTCAATTTTCATTTTCCTTTGTAGTTCTCTTGAGTATGGCAACTTGTATTATCTCTACTTGATGAATTAGAGGGAACAAAAGGCATATATGAGAAGACGTTTGATGTTCTATTGTGTGACTTTTTTATAAAAAAAATATTTTGTGATGGGCATGAAGTCATTTTACAAGTAAACGTTCTCTCTAAGCTGGTTTTTTGGATTGCCATTTATTTACAATCATGGATCTGTCTCCCACATTTTTGGACAAGAGTATTTTAGTCATTCCACAATCTTTTATTTATACATGTCCTTGAAATGTTAGATTTAGAGAGAGAAGCAAAAACTTTATATTATGATTTATATGGTTGATTGGTATACTATTTCACACTTCTGAATAGGATATTTTCTGTTGTTAACCTATGGTCCATTTTAGCTTTCAAAAAGTGAGACTGGTTATTTGTGCTTATTAGGATTGAGTCATGGGAAATGAATAGATCTTTGTTCTTATATACAGACATATCTGACCAATCTAGTGAATAGAGATTGAAGGGATGTGTGTTGCTCTCAACCAACCAAGAGGGGCATCACTTGTTTGCCCTCTTTTTCGACCTGCTGCCTCGAGACGCTGTCTAACTCTCACCACACACATTTGATTCCATCACTGTCAATCTCGTGTCGGAGTATTATATATATAAGGAGTAACTCACCTCCTGGTAAAATAGAGCAAAAAGAGTGCAAAATTAAACTTCCTACTCTGTCTTCTATCTTCTACAACTTATTGCATTATATGTTTAGTAGATTTCCAGCTTGATGGTCAAAGATTAGACATTGACGACAACCAATTAAACCTTGTAGTGTCTGCACGACTTTTTTTTTTTACTAGTAGACGGAGTTTTGCTCTCCTATACTCAAGGGCACCTATACTTGCCTCCAGATTTGAACTCGAGAGACATCAAAGATTTTTGCTATTAAGTTTATCCAAAGATGTAAATTTGAGACATATAAATCAGTATAACCAAGAGATTGTCAACGGGACCGCTTTGTGTATGCATAACTTATTTAAATTAAAAATGAAGTAGTCTCAATTCAATAGTCAAACGGGCTTTTTGACCAATAGAGCAACCATAAATTTCTCCTCCATATATTTCCTTCATCTCCCTTGGTACTGCAATAGGCCAGCGGATGGTCTGGCACATTCTGGCCTCTATCAGTCAGCCACGTTTCCATATGTAGCCACATTTTTTTAATTTGTTTTTTAATCTACATCTTCTATTTCAAAAAAAGAAAAAAAATCAATAAGATTTGTCTTTTATGTCCCATTATCACTGGTAATGATCAATTTTAAATTAATGATCTTGAGTCTTGGTGGCAAAAGAACTAAAAGATAAAAAGATAAATTTTCAATTTTCAAAAGATTAGAAGACATAAAAATTACATAATTAGCATTAAATTTGTTAGAAACATATAGTTTGATTTAACATCAAATAAGTAAGACAAGAATTCACTAGAATATATCTATGACCTGATAAAAGATACATATTACTTAGATCGCGTCCAAACAATATGAGAAACTTATCAGTGTTTTTAGCCAAAGTGATTTATTTATAATTATTATTGTAAGAAGTATTTAATTATCAATCAATTTAATATTTGTCAATTCAAAAAAAAATCTATCTTTAATCAAAAAGTCGTGAGTTCAAATCTACATTCAATATGTATACTAAAAATCATTTTAATATTTGGTTAGACAATTTTAATAGTGATTTTGATATAACTAAAAGTATTTTTAAATAACCAATATTTGTAAGTTTAAAATGATAAAATTACCAATAACATTACATTTGAGAGAGAAAAAAATCAAAAGATTTAAAGACAAAATTAGAGAGAGAAGTCTGAGAGAGAAAAATCTAAGAGTTGAAAAAGTTATAGAGAGAGAAAATATAGAGGAATAAAAATTCATAAGGAGATTTAATTATTGATTGAAATGTGAAATAAAAGTTAAGAAGATGCACTGAATTGCACATAATATGATAATGGTACAAAAAACAATACTACCATCTAAGCGTCACATCAATATGTCTCTTGGAACTTTAGTGGCGCATCGATAATGATAAGAAGCATGTGACAAATAAAGATTATAATTATTATCAATGAGATTATGCTACATTCTACAAAACAATAACAATAAAAATAAATATTGGATGAGTATCTTTCCTCGTTCTGTAATTTCATGTATTAGTGAAATTGTTTTTTATAAAAAGATAAAAAAATAAATTTTGGTATTTAATCTCTATATTTAAATAAGTTTTTACTGAATTACTCTTAAATTTGAATTTTGTGTCAAATGAGTTCCTATATTATTAATTTGTTTGAGTGTACACGACATACACTAATTGTGCATATTATTCACAGATTGTTTAGGAATAAAAATAGCTTGGCCAAGTGGAGGAGAGAAAGGTCCAACTGACAAGGTCTTCTCTAAGATCTACCTCAAGGTCTTCCCAAAAACCGACCTCAAGGTCTTGTCTGAAAACCAACCTGAAGGTCTTTTCCTTAAGGCAGACCTCGAGGTCTTACCTAAAGACTAACCTGAAGGTTTTCCTTTGAGACGGACCTGAAGGTCTTGCCTGAAGATCGACATCAAGGTCTTGCCTGAARACCAATTTGAAGGTCTTCCCTTAAAGCTGACCTCAAGGTCTTGTCTTAAGACCGACTTAATTGTCTTTCAACCAAATGCAACATTTCTCTCCTAGTCCACTCTATTATAAAACAACTCAACTGAAACGTTTGTGCMGCTCAAACCACTCTATTGAGCTCAAAACTCCACAACAAAAAAACACTCAACSGCCAGCCTCTTAGAAAAGAAAAAAGAGAGAAAATAGAGAAAATGTCTAAGATATGAAATATATTGTATATAAGTTGTATTTTGCTCGTACGGGTTTAGAGGTATTTATCCGAAAGTTTAGATGTAGAAATTTAATACAAAAATAAGTAATAAAATTTTTAACCTCACTACAAATACGTCTTCTTCTTTGAATAAAAACTCTCAAAACTTAAACTCTTCATTTAAATACTAAAAAAACTCATATTCAATTATTAATAAATATTAAAATGTAGTATTAAAAAAAAGAAAAATAATAATAATAATAAATATTAAAATGTAACGACATTTTATAAATGATTGAATCATTGATTTTAAAAAATATAGCTGGATCATAAATCACATCTATTCTTTGAGGTTAAAAGTTCAAATTTTCATATCTCACGTGTTGTATTAAAAGAAATAAAGAATAACCAAAGAATTTGTAATTTTTTTATCGACCTCTCCAAAATAAGCTAGACATGCAATACTCAAAATCTCATGCTAAAGAACGGTTTGCGAGAAAGTAAAAAAGGATTCATCCTTTGTTACATCTGGCACGAGAGATGTTAAATACCTATAGCTCTCTTAAAACTACATTTTGTACATGTTAATTTTATCTAACTAATAATTATAAACTTACAAATCAAAGACAAGTATAGTTACACATGTCTGACGTCAGCAACTCAGTTGATGAAGACAAATCTTCTACCCTTTACCGTACTAGATCTTTTTACCTAATCAAAATTTATACAACTCACTCGTCCTATGATCTACACATAGATTACACCAAACTCTAGGTTTTCTAAACTTCATAAATCATAAAGTCATTAAAGTCATGGGTCAAATATCATCGTTTTCTTCCTTATAAATAACATCTCGAAATATATTTACAATGGTTAAATTACTATTTTAGTTTCAATTTAGTATCTRTTTTTTTAAAATTTCCAGGATAACTCTTATATAGTTTGGTAAAATATTTCAAGTAGCAGCTTGTTTCCTACGCAACACTTTCATTTCACACTACAAAGAGAGGTGATAAGTTAATATTGAATAAACAAAATATAGCAAACAAAACTTGACCATTAAAGTTATAATGAAATTCTTTATATGCTTAATTATCGCAATTTAGCCYATTTCTAAACCATATATATTTATATACACACACCATGATTCTAAATATCCATCTATACGTAGACATTTCCACCGACTTGTCTATATTTTCATAGATTCGGCATCGACATAAAGAGTAAATCGACATTTCCATCATAGTCTAAAAAAATCGACAAAATATGAAAAATATCAACAAAATGTCATTAATATATAYATAATATTAATATTAATTATTTTTAACCTATTTAGAAATAAAGTTAATTTAAATATTTTTAAAAATTATTTAAYTTCTATAACTTTTACAGAAATATCCATCGACATTGATATTTTATCGATATTTCCATGAAATTGAGATCTTGACATTTCTATCGATATTGACATTTAAAACCTTAACACAACCAGAGGACAAGTGATAAAAAAAACAAAAGCCTTTTTTTTTTTCTTTTTTCTTTTCGTTTTTCTTTTTTCAGATAACACCAAAAGGAGAGACAGAAAAATTATAATTAAATTTTCCATCAGTAGACGGTGGAAATTGTAGGAGGATAGAATTAATTTCCGACTTCACACCAAAGAAGATGCATCATTCACACGCCACAGACACTGCGCCTSTCTGCTGTGGCCTCTCCGACTCCACATAATCCAGCCTTTCTTTCAACGTATCGGTAAAAGTTGGAATTCGAACCCTCAAACTTTTTATTCGAGATTAAATATTTATCTTAATCTTTAGATTAGTCCATAGTTCATAATCTAAACAAAAATTTAACAAATATCTATTTTTCYTTATAATCCATATATAAAATCTTTAGAAACTTAAAAGCTTAACATATATCTTAATTAACTTATATACGTCGAAGATAATGATACGCTTATATCTCCRTGATAGTATGATATTATTCGATTTGGACATAATTCTTATGGCTTTTCTTTTGATTTWATCTAAAATGMCTCATACCAACGGAGATAATTGTTCTCATCTATATACCATAGATCACTTCCTTCTTTAGCCAACGTGRGACTTTGTTTGTAGTCATTGAAATCTCACACTATATARTCGTTGCAAATTATTATCTCGTCAAACTAGTCGAATTTTCAAAATTAATTAAACCCCATCACACAACAATGAAGTTCAAATATGAAGTCAGTCTTCATTCTTGAAATTCAACCGATAATTCTGTTCGTGGTCAGAAATCTCTTCTTCCACCTATCGACGTCGAATAGTACTCTGCTCTTTGTTCGTTTAGGACATTAGATTGTTCAAATTAAAGCTCGAGGGTATAGTCGTAATAGTTCCGAAAC